GGCATTGTTAATTCCAAGCTACTCTGAACTGGCTAAAATATTCTCCATTATATCCCTAATTAAACATCACAGAAGCTTTGCGAACAGGTCATGAAAACGTACTTTTTGTGTGTGGCATCTTGTCATTGTTCTGATAAAGCGTGATGGAAAAATAAAACAACCTTACAATATTTTTTTAATAAATTTAACCAAATTATGTACCATGAACCTGTGAATGGATAATGGCTTGACAGTGACTGGAGAACGCCAACACAATTAAGGAAGCTTAAGGAGATAAGTATAAAATGAGCACTACATATATTTAACTTGTTGTCACTGAGTGATTCTAAATAATTGGGTTTAAATAATAGGTAGTAAAATAATGTTGAGCCAACCACCTATTTCTGGATTTTTGAGCTGCTGGGATCCTCATTTGGCAGCAGTCAGAGAAGAACAAATGAGTGTTAAAATTTAGATCACTTAAGAGTGGCAAAATATTAAACCAGCAAAGAAACCATGAATTAAAGTTATGAGTAGAAATATTCTGGCTGGCTTGGGGGAGAAAAAAAAATTTCTTCTGGAGACTTGGGAACTAGCATATTCCTTTTAAAAAAAAAAAAAAAAATCCTATTAAGCTAATGTTGGCTTTCAAACAACTGAAATGGTACTGTATCCTCTTTTTTGGAAATTTCTCCTCTAAATGAGGCTGGTTGCCCTTCTGCATTTGTTCACGTTTGGGTTGTGTATGTGACAGCAGTGCCTTCAGGTACCAGCCGTGTTGGGTCCTGTGTTGGTTTCTCCCGGGTTCCTCTCTAGGAAGAGAAGCAGAGAACTGAGAAATGAAGGCTTCCCCATGGCTCGTAGCTGGGCACTGATGCACAGTGAAACTGAGACTTAAATTCTGTATTTGGTGGTATTCAGTTGGGTGGTTTCCCCTGCTCTATTGGTTTTCTGCTAACTTCTGTGGTGAAAAGTTGTGGATACAGTATTTTGGGAAGATGAGACCTTTATCCACTTACTTAAACTAGTTGTGTATCTGATTATTTTTTTTTAAATCGGAATAGTTGTGTTGTGAAAATCACTTGTCACAGCAAACAGGAACATCCCTACTTCTTTATCACTGTAGGCTTAAAGTAGTTTTTGGCCATTTTCACTGCAGAATGTACCTTGCCACCTACAGAAGCTGTATGAGACAAACCATCCACATCTGTCAAGCAGAAGCCATTGACTGGTGAGCTGTCCCTTCCTCTGCCACGCTCTCCTGTTGGCCCATGCAGCTCTAAGTGCTGGCAGGGCAGTTTATAGTGGCAATGTACTGATTTTCAGAGTAGATGCTGTTGTGCTGAGAGCTTTGCAAATGCAGCATGCTGGCAAAATGCTTGTTTCCTGTATGTACCTAGGGCTTTAAGTCCTCCTTCTGTAGACTCAAATTTTTACCTTTACAAAAGAAGGTCTGTCTCTCTAAATGGGAAGCTAGATGAAAGAGAGATGAAAATACATACATGTTTTGATATGGGCAAAGTGAAAGTTTGCATTAGTTAAAGTATAAAAGCAAAAGAGAAATAACAACAGATTCTTAACCTGAAGTGGATGAAAATGACCTGGAAAGAGGAAAAACATCTTACTTCACAGCTGAGATCATGTGGTCCAAAGACCCTTGGCATGGGATCTGCCAGGAGCTTTGTGGAATGACTCAGGAGCTAGATAAGAAGCAGAGGCTGCCAAAAACCATTGGAAACTCGGCAAACCCCAGAACAGTTCTTCCTTCATTTAGCATTTCAAATATTTTTTAGAAATTTAAATAGGGGAGAGAAAAACAGCTGCACAGTGCTTCAGGGATTATATGCTGGTCATTAAGAAAACATTCATTGGCCTTTGCTAATTCTGAGCAGGGAGATATTATTGAAAATGTTGTGACTAAAAAAGCAAAAAACAATTGCAGCTCATAGTTACGTTTGGCTATTAGATTTCAAGTAGATAAGTGGAAAATTACTGATCAAAACCCAGCAATACTGAGGGGTTTGTTTTCCTGTAAGAGGACTAGGGCAGTTTTACGCTGTCTTTGGTTTAAACCAGGTTTTTTGAGGACTTTACACCTAAACAGTCTGGGTACAGACTGCATGGCCCTGGGGCACCCTGGTAAGAAGGGTGGTGGGGCATGGGGTTCCTGCACTCACCTCAGGCTGCTGGATGTGGCTGTGGAGGGCAGAAGAGACCCAACAGTTTCAGGGTTTCCAAGGGCTTGTGCAAGGGGAGGAGTTAGCTGATATGAATCCTGGAAAGCAGGGAATGGTTTCAGCTATGTATGTAGCAATGTCCAGGCTGGTTGCAGATATTGAGCTGAAATTAGTGATACCTGATTAATTTTTATTGACTATAGCTTCCTATTTGGACCCAAGAATTAAGCTAGAAAAAAAAACTTAGTTAACTGATGTTTATCTACCTCGTTTTAGACTAGTATTACAGCAGCATGACTGGGCTTCTCCTAAAGCCATTTGCTAATTTTCACTAAAGTTTATGCAGGAATGGATATCCCAAAACTATTGGATTCCTAAGTGCTGAATGTAACTTGGTGGTAGGGGAGAGGGAAAGCCCTTATTAGTGCCTAATAAATGATGGAGGGGAAGAGCATTATGTCTGTAGCCCACAGGCATAGCCCAGCTCCCATCACATCATGATATAGTCAGGCATAATCAACAGCCTAAGGGATGTAGGAGAGATCTGGGGAACAACAAGAGACTGGAGAACACGGGGGAAGGAGGTATGGCACGAGGAGGAGCCACTGAGAACAAATTGCAACTATTAGAAGTATGGCAGTGGTACACAGCAGTGTATGGCTCAAGGCCATGCAAAAATGAGCATCGTTAAAAGGAGGTTTACAGAACAACCTGTTCTTCATCTCACTTCGAGCTTTAGCAGCTAGTATCCTTATTAGAAGGAGGGCTTCTGCACTGTGGTGATCTGCAGTTTGTGTTATTTGGTTAGCTGTGACTGGGCTTGTGAGTCATATGATGATATTTCTGTCTCAAATAGGATGAAAATATCTCTTTGACTGTCAGCAAGCTTGTCCCAGAATAAGCCTCCTGTGTTGCCTGCTTAAATGCATTCCAATTGAGTTTTCTCCTGTGTTTGCATAAGATGATTAGCAAGCAGGTTTTGGGAATTAATATATTTGCTGGCATAACCGAGGAAAATGAATGCAACATGTAGCTAGAATGAGCTGCCTCTCGTTTCAGTGACTGTTCTGTGTGTACATATTTGTTTCAAATATCCAGAGTGCATAATATAGGGTTATTGTGCTTGTTCAATTTCATCACTTTGCAGTTTGTACAGTATGGTCATGTTTCAAGGAAACGAATGACTCTGATCATAAAGAATAAAATGCAACTTTTTTTTTCCTTCTCCCTCTTTCAGTTTCCTTCAGCTGATTGAAAAGATTCTGTAATTTTTCTGGTTCTCCCCTGTTGCAGCAAGCATCAGATGTCATCATCCTCTGCTTTTCTCTCCTGACACATCTAGCATGTCTTTTTCTTTCTCCTGCTTTGAATGATATCCTGAGGTGTTAGAACTGAATTTTTAATATCTAATTAAATCCTTTAGAAAGTTGTCCACAACCTTTTTTCTAGATTTGGAATTCATTAAGGCCACTGAATTTGAGGGCAGGTTGGGATTAAAAAAAATATCAGAGTAGAGCAAAAGTGATGCTGTGCCCAGAACTGCTCATTTCAAACACTTTCCAGTGTACTTCAGTGTAGTACAGAAATCCTGTCCCATTAATAATTCTCTGCTATTTTTTCCCTTTGGTTTTCAGATTGCCTAAATCTGTCATGCTGGATTGAAGTGGCGATGCAGCATTTACTGGAGGGTTGTTTTGGGTTTGGGTTTTTTTGGGGGAAGGGTTAAAATACATTAAAATACTACCAAAAATAAAAGAAGAAAGAAAATACCTTGCGACATCCTACCCACATAATATTCCATTTTGCAAATCTTTGTGATGAGTGAGGTTACTTATTGTTGTGTGCAACTGTGGGATGAGGAAAACTGTCATATCAGTGCCTAATGTACTGAATAATGGGCGCTCTATGTAAAGTGCATTTGCATTGTTCCTTTAGTGACAGATGCAAGGAATTAATTTCTCTTAGCAAGAAATGTTCATTGAAGATAAGACCTGAAATAAACACTGACACACAACTGTGAAACGCCCTGAAACTGTTTCTTGGTGACAAATTACTGCTGAGGTATATAGACCCTTCCACAAAAGTGACACCTATTGAATTTATTAGACAGATTATAAAGAGAGGACTGAATCATTTTTTGTCCTGTTTGTAGAGCTGACATTTACCAGCTTCTCCTAATGAATAGGATATAGGCTGCTGAAAACAAAAGTCAGATGGTTATGAAATCTCTTGGACTGGCAGCCATGGATCATACTATAGGCTACTGATAGTGTTAGCGAAGCCACACTCTTGTGCAGAGGGGGACAGACCCTAAGCTTGAGGCTGAGGTCGTTCATCTTTTCATGGGAAATTGTACGAGAGCTGCAATTAGAGCTATGAAGCCTTGGTGAACGCATCAAAGCATGTGAAGAAGAAACCCGAGGGGTTGAAAATCATGGGGGGAACTTGATTTTACCAAGTGGAAGAGCCAATACAGTCAGTGAAATGTAAGCAGAGACTGTGTAGTCAGCTCTTCGTAGAGGAATAAATGCTGTGATAAATGTCTCTTGTGGGTGTTTATCCTTGGAGATTTCTGTCAAAACAGTATTTGGTCACAAGTCAGCCTGAATTTGGGCTAATTTTAAATTCTGTCTCTTACTTACACGTAGTCAAAAAAGATTTAACGTGGCACTTCTCATCAGTACTTTGCAAAGGATGTTAATATGAGCTCCAGTTTACAGAGAGGGAAACTGAGATGCAGAAACATGGCTGAACAGCAATTGTTCCTCCCCCCAGCCTACTGATGGAATCAGCAACACAACCAATGCTGTTGATCACAGCTCTCTACTTTTCTTCTTTCTCCAGCCCAATTCATGGAGCTGCAGCTGTTCTTAGTCTTCTAATCTTGTTGTCTTGGAAGTGGAGTCCAGGTGACTGCATGGGGAACAAAGACCATATCCTTTATCTTCAGACTGCAAGTCCATCCGTGAATTCAAGAGTGTGGCAGGCCGTGTGGCTTGAGGTATAAAAGCACCAAGTCATTGAGTTGTTTTCCATGTAATCCTGTAATTAAATTGTAAGATAGCAGGGTCCTAAATAAAAAGCTTATTAATTTGCAGAAGCAGATGCATAAGGAATTTCCCTGTCGCATCTCCATCTAAATTATCATCAATGATCTTTCAAAAGAACCCCCCCAAGTATTTTGAAGGTGATAAGAAAGTATCTGTCAGCTGTTTAGAATAAAAGCATCTATGAGATAACTTCTGATGAAGGTGAATTTGTGAAGGTATCTCCACTCTACCCACAACAACTTAGTGTTTGTCTTTTTTTTCCTGACTTCACATTCCTATTTCCTACAGCAACTTCACTGTGATGGGTAAATTGACAGCCTGACACGTATTCTAGATAAAAGAAACAACTAGCAAAGCCCTTCTTCTGAACCTGTAATATAGGTGAGCATTTTGTGGCAAGGCCCATGAAGTTGTCTCACAAGAGTTGCCCTTGATGCAGTATAAACCCGATAGGCTGCTTTGATCCCACTTTCCTTCCTGTTTTGCTGGACTCAAATACAGGGGTGACTTTTCCCACAGGACAGGATGGAAAGAGATGCGGTAAATAATACATGATAGAGAAGTATTAAACAGCGTTTTCCTTCTGTTTGCCTAATGCAGGGCCAGCTCTGCAAATAAATAATCTGCTGACCGCTTCAGCATGTTGATGTGGAAAAGCTGATCTCACTCGAAGAGTTCTTTATGAGTTTCCCACAAACAAGCAAATGGAGCAAATATATCTGAGTAGCAGGTGCAGTACTTTGGATCTGCTTGGACAGATGTATGTGAAGACAACCCAAGGCTGTCCTGTTTCCACAGTAGAGCGTTTAGAGCAGCTCTCCATCACAATAGCCAAAGAAGAGAAAAACATCACTTTGATTCCTATTTTTCCTCCCAGTCCTGTTTGTAATTCCTTTAGGGATTAGCTGGAATTTGACTCTGTCAGTCTTTTCTCTCTTTTTGCCTACTAAAAAAATATTACCATGTCAAGGAATGCAGAAACCTTTCTCCCTTTGGCATGAAAACTTTTGCATAACCAATGTGATCTGTGCCATTACACTTGAGCAGGATTGTGCATGTACAATGCAATAAAAAAAAATTGAAAAGAAATTTCAATGACAAACCCCTTGGAAAAGATTGCTTTGATATCCTGTCATATGTATAATTTCAGTATTTTTTTCTCCCCAGTGATTTAAATTAATTTGAATCAAATCATTAGGCCCCAGACTGGTACTGAACATAATGACTCATCCCTAAATTAATATTGTCTACCCTGAACTACTCCTGTCTAAATCACTGAAAGACTCACGCTACTCACAAAGTCAGCTACATTCAAATGAGTTCTGCAACAGTTCATTAGGTAATGATGTAATTTATGTGCCTGGGCCAGCAAAGGCTTTTTGCTCTGGCTTAAAATGGACAAAGTATGGGTAATTAAACAGGTGTTTTGTAAACTTCTGACATTTCCTTGTGCAGGAGAAAAAGAGGAAAAAAAAAAAAAAAAAGATTAATAATCAGAGTTTGAATGAGGACAAAATGCATCAAACAATACTGCAGGATTTTCCAGTGCCAGCCTTTCTTCTTCCTAGTATAGCGAGGCTTTATGTAAGGAACATGCATCTCTTTCAGCATATTCTGTCTTATAAATGATGTACTTGACACCAGCACTTGAAAGGAGCTATACTAAAGGGATCTGTTAGCATGAGGAATAAATGTGTGTAATTAGACTGGGTTCAGTGTCTAGGTGAAACCCTTGTATAGCAGAATTCAGTCATTTTAGAGTTGTGCTGTACACTGAACCTCTCACATCGCGTTATCACCGTGCCATCCATTGTATTTCAACTGCCACGATGGAGGAGCAACTGGTAACAACACACCAAGAGCAACTTACAGAGGGAGTCTCTCCTGAAGGTCTTAAATAGTATAGCCCTAATAAAATAAATGGGGAATTAAAAGTATTATCAGCTGAGCATAAAACCTTTCTGGTCTTAATTGTTACTGTTTCTCTTCTCCCTTCTGATTATCATCTTTGGACAATGGCTATTGTGAAGTGTTACCGAGACTACCAGTAAATGGACTTCTTTCCTCATACCCGTGTGTTGACAGGGTTTGGCATCTCAGAGTTAAGACTTTTAGTAATCTTGGCCTCCGTACTGGAAGAAGCTGTCAGTTGTTCCACATAATGAATGGTTGGTTTATGGTGTAAGGCACTGCCCATGGCATTCAGCAGCAAAGAAAGATTGCTGTCCTAGATTGCAAAATGGTGGTTTCAGGTTATGGTAGCTGTAATAATGAATAACTAAATGATACAACTTGACAACTTCTCTGTTTTACAAAATATGGCCTTATTTTTGCTTAATTTCTATGTTTTAATGAACAGCTAGAACTTATTTTCCTTCACAAATTAGAGAAGCGGTAGTGAAGGCAAAAAGGTGATTATTTCTTTTTCTGTTCCCTTTGCTGTGGTAAGATGATTACCTAGCTACTGAATCCTTCAGTAAAGGTCTCTTCTGAAGCAATCTCACAGTGCATTTTTATGACTAGCATTGCTTGCGTAAGTTACTTCTGTAACCTGAATATTCTGGATGCAGCATATATATTTCATTGTGTCATTCCATTCGGAGGAAGTGAAGGAATAATGCTAAAAATGAGTGACTGAACTGGTAAAGTGACATTCAAGATGGCAGTTTGGGGTGGTTTGGAATAATTCAGGTATAATGGATGTGAATCATACCCCTATCAGCAGATTTGCTGTCTGGAAGCCAGTTTACTGAAACACTTACTGATTGTATTTCTACAACTTCTGGGTTGTTGGTAATTGCTCAGTACCCAACACCTGTGGGGATGGGTTGCTCTGACTGCTTTTCATCTTCTCCATCAGTGGTCCTATCTTGCTGCCATCGTTTCCAAGGCATCAAAGTATAGAAATGTCTTACTGTACTAAGGTACAGTCCTGAGGCTATTAGTAAGAAGTAGTTTTTATACTGGGTAGAATCTCTCAGAATCCTAAATCTTTCAGAAGTTCTTTTGAGAGTACTGTTCTTCCGCTTCCTCCTTTCATCAGGGCTAAAACACCATTTGGGATGGGTCTTGTGGCGTTTTTCTCCCAGATCAGAAGTACTACAGAACCTGAAATGGTCACAGAAAATGCAAGAACGTTATAAAACATTCAGTAAAAGTCTGCTTAGTGTTTTAGACTTCAAAAATGAGTGATGACTGTTTTTCATTTGTTCTTTGTTTAGCAGGAATTTCTAAGCTATATGCGGGTGTACAAATTATTGAGTATATTGGAATAAACTCACCGATTAAATTTTTTAAACAGCACACTAAACAAACCCATTAGTGGAATATTTTACTTTGAATCTCTAAAAACTGTTGTTCAATCATGTAATTTTCTCCTTTGGCAGATTTTCAAAGTTTTCAAAATATAGATTGTTCTGTAATTTTGGTCCCCACAGCTGTGGCAGAGTGTTAATTTCCTTACTAGTGAAGCCAATCTGCATAATCAAGGTCTGAAACAATGGCCTTTTTTCTGCTTTTCCTGCTGAATGTCTGCCTAAAATAATTCCAGTCCTATAATGAACTGCTTGCAGGAACACGAAGCAGAATGTGCAACAGAGAAGCTTCACGTGAAAAATAAGGTAGTGAATGATTTAGTGCTCCTGCACACTCACTGTGTGCATAAACGTATGTACTGCTAGCACCAGGGATGCCCCGCATTCATGTTTCTGAGTGCACTGTTCTTCATGCATAGACTCCTCTTCAGCTTGAAATCCCTACACCCTGCCTTTCCCACAGATGGCCCAAGGAAGACTCCTGCTTTCCCAGAGGTAAGGATAGAATTAAATGTATCCAGATGCCCTCATAAAGTGTCTCTTAGAATATATAAAATAAAAGTGAAAGAAAATGACAGGCTAGAGAGCTGACAGGTGTGTGCTGACAGGTGTGTCTCAAACACCGCAGCTGCTGAAAGCAAAGTAGTAAGAAACAGTGACAATAAATGAACGTAAACGATAAATATTCCTGCATAAACGAGTTCTTATGCAGCATTAGTGAGGACCAATGAGGTGTAAATGGGATGGAAAAGCAGAAGCAAGTCTTTTATGCATCAGAGGTTTGGGAATCAAATGGCTTCCCACATCAGTGGGATTTTGCTGATGATTTCACGGTTTCACACCAAGGCCGTCTTCCTTTTGTAAGGGCTTAATCACCTTCACCTGAGAAGCTCACCACTGGTGCCATACAGGTCCCTTCTCAGGGTAAAGGGAGAAGATCCTTTGCAGTTAGCTTGCTGTCTTTTGCCCCATTGTCAAAATTAACACCTGTTTGTAGGTGACACGTTTAGTTTAGGAACCGAGCATCTCACATCTTAATAAACAGATGGCTGTGCTTCCTCTCAGTTATACATATGGTCAGTGCCATGCATCTAATGACATCTGCAAGGATGGCTAGAGTTACTTTGCTGCATTATCAACCACTGCTTTGAACAGCTTCCTGTGCTCTTTTGTTTTTGTTTTACATTTAAATACTGAATGTATTTAATTGTAAAGATATCTGGGTTTCTCTTTGAGGCTGAGATGTGCTTGGTGGTGTTTATGACCCAGTATGTTTGTTGTGACCTGTGTCAGGGAGCAGCTGCTGCATGAGGAGACCTAGTATGCCTTTTAGTGTTGGGGTGGCTCCTTCTGTCCAAACCTGGAAGTCAGGTGGATCCTGGTTTTTAAGATAGCCAGGAACAGAGAGGTTCAGCACAAGTTCTCCATTAGTAATGCTTTGAAGAACCTCTCTGACCTGGTTCACCCTTTGCTGAATATCACCATTAAGAATTCCCATTCAGAAAACTCATGACTGGTACATCCATGTGCATACATGTCTCTGCATGCATATATATAGTCATGTATTTGAAAGCCTTTACAGGTGTGAGCAGTAGGTGTTACAGCTCGTTGTAGCGCAATGGAGAGAAGGCATTACAAGTTCTGATAAGCCATATGGCTGTTCTGCATTTTGATTCTACAAGAAGCTGCAGCAGGCACAGAATTGCTGTTTTCAGAGCTGTGGTTAAGGTGAGCATCTAATTCGCACCACACACAGGAAGCTAAATCTCCAAGCCAGAAGAGGACCAAAGAGCTGGGGTTCATATAAGGGAAAGTTATTGGCTCTTTCAGGGAAGACTTCAAAGATATGACTAATCCCTATTTACAAAATACAAGCCAGAGGTAGCTTGCACCCTAGTTCCCTGAGCAGAGGATGCTTGAAGAGAAAATTGAATGTAAGCTCCAGGCTGGAAATACATTTCTTTCAGAGCTAAGTGCTATGCTTCCCACATGCCAACTGCTTCCGCTTTGGAAAGCAGAAACCATGGGGATTCAGGAGATGCTGAGCTTAATATTAAAATGTGAATTCATAAGCCTGAGCGCTTCTCAGAATCAAAATTGTATCTCTCCTACTGTATAGATGGGGAAACTGAGGCACAAAGAATATGCCCTATTGAAGACCAGATGAGAAGTCCCTAACGGAGGCAAGATAAGAGTTTAGCTTCTTCCTTATCATGAGGTTTTATTCTTCATTGTTTCTTCCCAAAATACAACAGGTTCAGGGTCGCCCTGGCACCCTGTCCCCCAGCACAGTTTATTCCATTCGTTGTAATATGATCAACTCCATCACTGAGTTATTTTAACTAAAAATACTTGTTCCGTCTTTCACAAAATTGAGATTTGTTTATTTGATTTAAGAAATCAAGCAAAACTGCCATTCAGCTATTATTATCTTTCAGAATGGACATTAAATGTCAGTATCTCCTTTTAATTTTCAGTTTTGTATGGGAACTGTTGAGTCACAGCCTGAACCACTGATTGATCACCTGAGGCAAGCACTGAGTCAGCCATGGGAGCGCAGGTGAAGGCAATTCAGCTGTGTGACCGAGGGGGTGAAGCCTGGCTGCACCTCTCCTAGACCCCATTTAAGGGCTGACTGCCGCTGGGGAAGGAGTTCCCTTTTCTGTGGGGTCTTTCCTGCAACCCTAGCTTTTCAGATGCAGGTGAGCATTCCTTCTGTTTGTTTCTTTTTCCATTTTCACCGCAATTTTTTTGACTGCAACACCAACTGTAACAATAGTTTTCTGAGAAAATTGCACAGTGAAGTTAGATGGTTTATATCATAGTTTAAGCTTTTGCTGGATGAAGTTGTGCTGCTTCCTTTTCTAGTTATTTTAATGTGTTATTTTAATTGCCCTAAATAATTAAACTGTTTTGCACAGAAATACCATTTTTGTTACTTCATTTCTATACAGACTTTTATTTCTGTCATAACTAAGAGGCTGAAGTTATTAGATAAATAACGTTAATTACAGATGATAAAAGTTGAAGTCTGTCCCTTAGTTCTAAGCTTAATGTGATTGCTGTAGTATTCATTAAACTGAGATTCAGTGAATTCAGATGTGGAGTGCCGCTATTTTATCTGTTCCTTGTTGCTCTCTGCTGTACCACTTCTTGAACCAGCACCAGGAATTTGAAAGTGCCACCATCTTCAGGGACACCATCTCTTTCAAGCAGTGAGACACCTGAGCTGTTACTGCAAACAAGGAAGCAAACAAATGCAGTTGAACAACTTGGGAATGACTTTGCTTCTCAAAAATATTCTCAGTCCTACTCGTGCTATTTTTTTTTCAAGGCTGTAATTCCAAGCAGTCTTTCAATGTTCTCCTTCTCTTGTTATCATTTTGTCATTATATTGACTGGATAGGTCACGTTTGCAGGCAGCAGTATAGGGCTTGAAGGCCTCCTTGTGGGCCAGAAATCCTTTGGAGGGTTTACTTTTAACAGAGCAGTAGTGTCAGAATACAATGCTTGGAAATGAAAGCAAAGCCTCTTTTATTGTAAGATCAAGGAGGGACCTGCTGTCCGTCCTCTTTTGGTAAGAGCTTCATGAGCTCATGTCAGCATTTCTGGGGTTTTCCTGCTGTGCCAACCCTCCAATACAGGTATGGGAGTCATATGAAAATGTTCTTAACATCATCTGCAGAAACCTATTCTTTCACTGAGTATATACTTCCTGATCTTTCTACGTGGTTTCTCAGAGTTATGTGTAGATGAGAAAAGGCTGCTGATACACACAGACACATCACATTGGTACCTAACAGGATATTTTGAGCCTGTGTGTTTAGGGAAGGCTGCAGGGTAATAGGGA